ATCTGATGATTCTTATTGATACAAGAAAAAGATCATTTCATTAATATTGTAAGGATGTTGTCCTTGATCTAGAAGAGCAGTAATCAATTCAGTAATCTTTATCTGCATCTTTAACATCTCTTCTGCTTCTACCTATCTGTATAGGAGTGAGTGGTAACACTGCTCTCCCTAACAGGGGTAGGTTGGGAAGATGGATTCAAGAGTGTGAGGTGCTGAGCTATTGCTGTTAGTGAATGCGAATAGCTTATGATGAGAAATGTGGAAGCGAGTCTGTTATTAAATTTATACAGGTCTAACAATGTAATCAAATTAGCCTTTGCACTTTCTCCTGTGCTCCACTCTCTACATTAGAGTATCTTCATAAATCTCTTCAAAGCTATTTCATTTGTTCTTTTTAATGCTCTCCTGGTGTGATGCAAAGAAACACCTAAATACTTGGTAAGTAGTGAGTGGGCTGCAAGCGCTAACAGCTGTATCTGCTGCTGTGCTTGGTGCTCAGGAGTGCAACTTGGATCATTTTGCTGATCAGTCTAATCGAGATTAGCACATGTGATGATACATGCTGAGCCCTCTGGGCCTTTGCTCACAGATGGACGGTATGATTTTAACACCCAGGATCTGGCTCCATGGGGGGTCATTACAGTGCAGTGATAGAAGGGAGCGGTGACACAGCATTTGCAAATGAGTACTGCCAGGTTGAGGGTGTTTTACCAGGACCAAAGGCTGGTGATGAAGCACTCCAAAATAAAATGCCAGGCTGAAATGTCAGGCTTTCTCTAAGCCTCTTCTGTCTGAAGCCAATATTCACATAGTTTTCCCATGGATTTTCACAGCTTTGGATCTAATTTCAGGCTGTAAATGAAATGAACAGATTTTAGGTGCTCAGTTTCCAGTAGCTCCGGTTTGGTTTTTTTTATTTTTTTTTGTGGGGGTGGGAAGAAATTTGGTGTTGGGACCATACAAATGTTGGGGTTTTGAACTTGCATGGGCAATGCTTTATTTACCACTTGCTCATTTTTCTTCATGCAAATACTGGTTTGTTGGTTAACACCTTTCTCGGTGCTGAAATATGAAGATTTCAGCAGTGCCTGAGGGGCACAATCACTGACATACCTCATTTGGCCAAGGGGTGGCCCACCTGCACTTATCCAACATTCCTGTCCCTGCTGATTCCCGGTACTGATCTTTCTATTGTCTGCTGGTGCTAGCTATTGCTTTCTGCATTCCTACACAGGCTGCTGTGGAGTTTCTTGAATACAGCCATTTTGTGTTAAAACTGTACTTGCAGTCGTGTTACAGATCAGAATGCATCTATCTGCGGTGCAAAGCTGCCTACTGCTCCCAGATTCCTTTTGCTTTTAATATGTATGTGTCTGTTTTTTTTTTTTTTTTAATATAAGGCAGACCTTCTATTTCAGGGGGTGGGGGGTTGAACACTAAATACTAAGTTTTGTGAGGGTATTCCTTAAAGGTGTAATCTTCTCTAGCTCATTTGGGGGGGAAAAAGATCTTTCAAAGAAAAGTGGAAATGCTTATATGCCTAATTAAACTATTTATTGTATTACAGTGGGGCTTCTATTCCTTTAATGTAATGAAGACATGGCTTCAGTGGGACTGTTTACATTTATAGTATGAAATTGGACCTATTCTCAGACAGTGGTCCTATTGAATATGGGGATGCACTAAATATGATCCCCCTATGCTTTAGCAAAGATAAAGATACACGGAATGTATTAATTGGCAGCTTTGGGTTCCTGAAATAATCTGAAGGATAAACTCTTCTATTGTTTCAGTGTTGCATTGATGATAGGATAAACAGTACAACAATGAAATGGCAATGCAGAATCAGAAGATGGTCAGAACACGGAAATGATGCACAAGAAATTACATATACAGGAGAGAAATGAAACTGAACTTGTAAAACTGAGCTTTGCATATCTATGGGAAATAATCAGAAATGCACTAACTCAAAAGATGTCTGGTTTAAAAAAATAATTGGTATTACATCTAATAGCTGATGCAAATTAGATACGAAGTGGCAAGGTATGTGGAGCAAAGCTGTCATTTTCTGATACCATAAGCAAAAGCATTTTAGAGTTAGTTCCTTATTACAGCTTTAGTATGATTACATTTCTGGACAAACTATTATGAGATGTTGGGAAAACTGGAGGGGGTTTGGAGTATAACAGTATTACTAACACTAGAAATGACTCATAAGAAAAATTTAAAGGAAATACAAGACCTTAGCTAAGCGGTGATTGAGAGGGTATGCCGTTTGCAGAAGTGAAAAGGCTTAAATGTCAGGGGCAGAAAGGAATTAGCGAGATGCAAAAAGAATAACTTGAACAGATTACAGAATATAGTTGGGGGGGAGGGAGCAAATGGCATGAGCCTGAGATGGCTGAATAGTTTGAGACCCCCTAGATTTTTTAAATAAGAATTCTATTCAAATCCATGATGTACTCTTTGGGAGATGGGAAAGGATCCCAGAAGAATATCCAGCTTCTTTCTGATTACTCACCTTTTCTGATGCATGAGTGCTGGTGAATGCTGGACAACTTCCTACTGATCAGGCACTGCTGAGGAAGATGCTTCTGATCAAGAGATGAGCAGCATTTCAGCGTCTCTCTGCTTGGCTGCTGTGGCTGAGCTAGGCGGATGGGGCATGTGTTCAGTGTGGGATGCCTTTGCTGTTGAGAGAAGCCTACGAGGAATGCTGCAGCACTGTGCTAATTTTTGTCTTCTCTTGAAGGGCCAACTGCATGCATGCAAGATGCAAAAGGCAGGAGAGGGTTGTCTGCTGCAGGTAACAAAAAAGATGTGTAGCAAAACCAGGAGCTGTAGAAGACTGAGCCCCAGTAAACAGAATCCATAAGTACATGTAGTTGCAGAAGGGAGTGAGACGATCATTTTATAATGCTGAATTTATTAATTTTTTAAATGGTACTTAATGACAACTTGGGATATGAGATTGGGACTCTGTTCCTTGCCATGGGAAGAATAGAGAACAAACCAAATTTCTTGGAATTAGAGCTGGTTGTCTCCAAGGGGGGTGGGGGGGGGGGGCAGCTGTGATGCAACCTAGAGCATGGTGGCTGCTGTTAAATAGGTTATGAATCATATGAAGCTCATCTCAGTGTTTCCCAGAAAATTAAGTTGTTGCTAACTTATCATTTGAAATGCCCCTAAATTACAAGCCTGCCAGTCCAAACAGTGGTTTGTCAAATAGCAGCTGAAAAAGGGGAGCAAATGAGTTTGTGACATGATCTTGTGATAACAGACCTGTCTTGCCCCTCAGCTGGCAGAAGCTCCCATAGAGCTTAGCATTTTATTTGTTCTTTGTCATGCTATCCCTCTCAATATGTCAGCAGGGTGCTGTTTCTGAGATCGTTTTTGTGCTTTGCCTTGATTTCTGGAGGACAAAACCTATGGTGCTTAGTGGAAAAGTGTTGGCATGAGTATACCACATGGGGCTATTTCCACTATAAATCTGAAGCAGGGCTGCATTGTAACTGATGTTCTCAGTCACAACAATTTATCTGTTCAAGCAGCTATATGATGGGGATGGTTCTGATGGCAAACCTCATCTCCTTTTGAGCTACAGATGAGTAGGTGATTTGAGTAGTGAAGATCTGACCCACTGCTGTAAACAGATGCGTGTCATGCCTTTCATTTACTTGTGACTTAAGTTATGTACTTCGTGCTGTAAAGCAAAGCCCCTTCCTTGTCCTCCTGGTGGCAGTAAAAATGTTGGATTGCTTGTGAGGTATGGCATCCTCTTGCATCGTGAGCAAGTGCTTCTGGAAATGATACAGTTCGGGAGGATGTATATGTTTTGGTGATAGCCCAAATGGTTCATATATGGTACAAGGGTGCAGAGAAACACATTGACTAGCTGGTGTTCGAGTAAACAATCAGTGATGCCACTGTAAAGAGCTCTGTGTAATTAGAAGTTCCTGGTTAAAGACTGAATGAATAGAAAACTGGCCATTTGGGTCTCCTCTTAATAACGGGACTTTATGATGTAACTTGCAGTTTGCTTGAAGCCCGGAACCTGAAACTTGTCCTGTGAAGAGACAGCCTTTCTCTTAATGCATTTGCAATACTCAGTCTTCAGTACTTTTTCTAACATGAACAAATAGGCCAAAATCTTGGCAGTGGGTAAACACAAGGTAAAACTGATAGGGTCAGAATGACCTTTCACAGTGTCATGATTTAGACAATCCTGCAATGTGGCTGTCAGCCTCATCCGGCGCTGAGGAGGCTGAAAGGCCTCCCCACAAAGCAGTAGCATGGAGAGGCACCGCAAGGTCACCCTTCATCTCTGCTGCTGGTGCAACTACATGGCTCAGTTTTGTTATTTAGTCTCCTGAGGCAGACTCCTCCAGGGCTCCGGGCTGCAGGTGAAGAAGAAACCTCCAAAAAGTAAGTTTTGGTATATTTGGGGGTTGTGTATTGTGGTGTTTTTTTTTCCTGTTTGTTTGTTTTCCAGGAAGAAGTACCAATTAGGGCCCTGTCTTGTCCAAAAGTCAGAACTTTCACCAGAGGCTTCAAAACTGTGCCTTGCCCGCAGAAAGGTGGAATATACATGAAAAACAGTATTCTACCTGCCAGAAACGGACCTAATTGTACACCGGTGCTGTTCTAGTGGTATTTTTGTTTTAGTGGATGGCGACCACCCTTTCTCTGAGGTGTGCTGTGAAATCGCGGCTCCGTCAGATGAGGGGCGAGTGAAACCGTGGCTGGGGGCGCGCGCACGGCGCGAGGCTGAGGGCAAACGCGGGACCCTCAGCCCCCGAGGGACCCACAGCCACCCCGCGGGGCCGCCATTTTGGGGCCAGCTGCCGAGGCGCCCCCCGTCGCGGAAAGCTCCGTTCCCGCACGGGGCGGCAGCGGCGGGTCCGCCCCGTCAGGGGCGTCTCCTCGGCGGCGGCACGGGGCCGCCTCCCCCGTCCCCGCCTCCCGGCTCCCCAGTCGCGCCGGCGGCTGGACGGGAGCGGAGCGGAGCCGCGGCGCGCTGCCTTGCCCGCCCCGTCCCGACCCGACCCATGCGCTGAGGGGCGGCGGGATGGGGCTGCGGGGCGGTGGCGGCCGAGCCGGGGGGCCGGCTCCCGGCTGGACGTGCCTGCTGCTATGCGCCGCGCTCCGGAGCCTGCTGGCCAGCCCGGGCAGCGAGGGTGAGCGGAGACGGGGCGGCCGGGGCAGAGCCGCGCGTCGGGCTGGTTTTATTCGATGTCGTAGCGTTTTACGGGGGCGAGCGGGGAAAGCGAGCGAACGCGTTCTGCCGGGCGCGGGCGGCTTGCACAGGTGCGCCTGCAGCCGGGGAGTTGCACAGGTGCGCGGGCTGCGCGCGAGGTGCTCACGCAGCTCGGGGTGCCCGCGGGGCTCCCGCTCCCCGCAGCGCGCTGACTCCGTGCCGCGGAACGCAGCCCCGCTCAGCCCGCAGCGCCGCATCGCCGAGCTGCGCTGCTTTGGGGCGTCTGAAATCGCCGGCAGCCGTAAATACACGTTCAGCTCTGCTGTCCAGCGGAGTACTTCCATGCGCTTTTTCTTATATATATATATGTATTTTTTTCCCTCTTTATTATTTTTTGACATCCGTACGCACGCCGTGGTGGGAAAGCAGGGGATGGGGAACTTGAGCATCCCGGAGGGGGTTGCCGGCTGCTTTTGTGATGCGCAGTAACTGCGATTCGCAGTCATTTGCGAAAGTCCTTTAGAGGGAGGAGGGATGCGGGGGGCGGCGGGGAGAGCAATCGCCAGGATGTCAGAGACGCGGCCCGAGGTGACCGGCGAGCTGTAATTTGCTGTGGCAGAGTGCAAATAATGCCAGTCGCGGCTCGAACGAGAAGTACTGAGGGAGGGGGAAACGCTGCTGTTCTAAGTGCAAGGATGTTTCACGTTAAATATTAGGGAAAATCTCAAAGGGCTGCCCAGGGAGGTGGTACAGTCACCGTCCCCGGAGGTGTACAAGAACTGTAGAGATGTGGCACTGACGGACGTGGTCAGTGGGCACGGTGGGATGGGTCGGTGGTTGAGCTGGATGATCTTAGAGATTTTTTCCAGCCTTAGCGGTTCTGTGTTTAGCATCCACGGTACGCGTTGCTTCGGGCATTCTGGAAATGGCTTTGGCTCTCTCCGAATGGGACAGCAGTGGGCCCCATCCTTCAGCCCCACGTTGCTCTGGCCGCTGTCGGCCGGCCGCTGCCGAGCAGCCCCGCTCCTAGGAAAGGCTCACCTGCCTGTCCGGATGCGCTCGCACTTGACGTCGATTTGGGTTTGAAAAGTTGGGTTTGGCTGTTACAGGTTCTGCAGAGAGCCCCTCCCTGGGATTGGCTGACCTGCCCAGCTGGCAGAAAGCTTTGCCTTTGCTGGGGTGGAGGTGGCTGTCTCAGAGCCGAGAATGTTTTCTGAAGTTGTGTGCATTGGTTTTTGTGGGTCTTGCTGTTATCCCTCGTTCTGCTCAGCATGGTTAAATAACAACTAGCAGTATTGGTATGTAACATGTATGAGCATTTGCCATCCTTTGTGCAGCTATGTATTTGCTATTTTCACGATTTTTGTTTCTCAAAAGCTTACTGTAATACACAGTGGCACTGTAAGACAAGATACATGCAGTTGGCAATTCCTTGTGCCCGAGTTCCTGTCTTACCCCATAGCAGACAGAGACTATGGGGAAAGCGCTTTAATAATCTATGCTCAAATTTAGAGGGAGAAAAGAATGAGTTGTTTGGGATCCATAGGCTGAAAATAGCTTTTGGAAAGTGCAGCTGAGTTTCAGTAGCTCCTGACATTTTTTTTTTTGTGTGTGTGTGTGTGTGTGTGTGTGTGTGTGTGGAAGTATTGTAAATGTCCATTAGGTATTTCCAGTTACAGGTTACAGAGTAAACACTGGGGAAACTGAATTAAATTTCTGCCCTGTTTTCCTCTGAAAAGGAAATAAAACCAACTTTGATTTTGATTGTTTTTTTCTCAAACTGTGTATTAAAAGCCAGACGTGCTGGGCTCAATGCTATTTCACATCCCAGGTATTGTTTAGCTGTTAACAGAGTTCATTCATTAGAATTAGAGGTTTCCCTCCTCCTTTTGACTGCTTTTACAAATTCAAAAACCTGTCACAATGCAAATATTCCAAAGAGTTCTGTGAAAATATTACATATAATTTGGGAACTCTGGTATTTCACAAGTAGCTGACTGCTTTCAGATGCGTTGCCTATGAAAATGTGTAGGGAGCTGCTGCCCTCAAGTTACCATTGTGCTTGAATGAACGTAGCGCTTTCCACAGAAATAAAATACGTTTGCTATTGTGATAGCAATCAGAAACACATTGCTTCAGCCCGGGAGGGGGGGACACGTTGTTGATACTGTAATTACTTGGATTATATATTTACGGTAGCCTTGCAGTTTTGAAGCAACAGTGTGTGTGAACCTGAATAGATTTGCTGTGTGGACTGAGTCTTTTTGTTTTTTTTTTTTTCCCCCACTGGCAGCAATTTGTGACCAGTCCCAGGCACCAGAGGCAGCCCTGCAACGGACAGATGGGTTCCCTGCACCTCCTTTAGTTTAGAAATGCGTGTTTTAAATGGTTCTGTTGTTGATACTAGGGTTTGGGAAGTGGCTTTTGTGAATTATTTATGTGAAATATAAAATGAACAAAGGAATTGTCTGGAGATGTGCACCTCACGCCTCCCGTCACCCCAAACTTCAGCGTGGTTTGTTACACATAGTCTATGAGTTTGCATTGGTTTGTGGGTCTTTACCCAGATGACCTCAAAAAGTGCCACGTGGGCAAAGTCCCGAAAGAATGGAGTACCTGGGATCTTTTAAGTGCTTGAAACAAAGTAACTCAACAACTTGCAAGCATTATTGTTGTTAAATAGAAGGTGTATTTCACTTCAAGGGCTTTTCTGCATTATTGAGTGCTGAGGAGGAGGTGCTATCCAACCGGTTGCCTTAAAGGGGATGAGAAGAAACGCAGTCTCAAGTAATGCCACTGACTTAGAGAGAAGGTGAGAAAGGCAGAGTGTCTGTGACTTTGTGGTATGTGTTGCACCAGTTTTAGGGATTTAAGCTAAAGAACAGCCTTTTAGTCCTAAACTCCTGCATTTGATCCTCCTCCTCTGAATTCTTGTGGGGATTTTTGAAGCACAGTTTCTCTTGATGTATCATTTTTAATCTGAATGAATGAATAAGTGAGTGCAATTAAAGGGGCAGGTCTGGTAGAGGCAAAAATAGCGGAAGGTGGTAATTTGCAGATTATTCATGACAGAGCCTGGAATGAGCCTACCTGTTCTAAATGTGTTGCCTTGAGAGTGTTTTGTTCCATGCTGACGTATAATTTCTGTCATGGAGCACTGGATAAATGAATGTTTAGGTATAACATCACAGTGTTTATCATTAACCGTTGAATGCAGTTCTTTTTCAATGAGTTTGTCATGCGTTTTGTAAAAGCAGGTGTGAAAATCCCCTCGCTTTTCTGATCCATCTATTTCTATTAGTTGAATGCTTTGGGTAAAAATAGATACGAGAACTTTTTGTTTTGCTTGTATTGCTCTTAATAACTCAGCTTCATCTGTTGCACATTCACACGGCTGTTGCATTTTTTGCAGTTCTGTAGGTGCAGGTAGGGCATGCACAAGTTGTGTGTGCAGAATGGGCAATCCAGGGCACGTGGCACTCTGCTCTGCAGAGTTCTGAGAGGAATTTATTCTGTTTGTGTATTGGAGCAGTTCCTTATATGCTTTCTGTAACAGCGCTGCGTAGCCTCCATGCTGTACATTTATTTTAGTTATAGGAGCGATCCCATTAACTTTAAAATTTACTGCGGTGGAATTACTGGAATGAGGAGGGACAACCCATGTCTAATGGTCTTTTTGGGATCAGTCTGATGTGATGTATGGCTTTTCAAGAGGTTTAGAATGACTCAGTCATGATTTTATAATGGAAACTGCTATCCTTTTGACAGTAAAATGGCATTTGAAACGCAGCACTTTCAAGTATATGACTAAAAGCATTGCTGCCTAATGACACATGTTTTATTTAATAAAAAAAAAAAAAAAAAGAAATAAGCAATAAGTAAAATTGACTACAGTACAATACTTGTTTGCTTTTGAGGTATATTTTAAAAATCGTAATAAATAGTGGAAAACTGGCAAACTATCTTAAACAGAACCGCTGACAGACCGTCAGCTTACCGCGTCATAAATGTTGACACCATAATTTGAAGCATAAAGCAGCTATTTGCAGATCAATTTACAGGTGGGTAAACTGACAGGTGGGGGAGCAGGGACAGTCAGTGGGCTCATCTGGCAGTTTCTGCCTCCTCCCTTCCCACTCCCATGGTTGCCTCGTGTTTTGGCTGCACCACAATGTTCCTCATCCATCTCCTTATCTGCTCTTCTGTTGCTGTGAAATGAGGAAACCAAATCTCACCAAGAAATGTGTGTTTATCCATTGTAGTAAATACAGAAATAAACACTTTGTAGCAAACAATGGGAGGGAAAGTGGGATCAGGATTTCATTGAGTTGTTTCAGAAATCGGAAGGCCAGGACAGTTTATTACATGTTGGCTTATTCTCCAATATCACTGGGTTTATGCTTTATTGTTCTGAGGATTTCTGTGTTGTTCCTGCAGAACACGTTGTTCCTTGTTCCCACCATGCAGAGTTCTCAACCTGAGGAAGAGCAGCTGAGCGATGGTGCTGGGTCCTGCTGTGTTTTGGGTCTCACATAGAAGTGGGCTGGTAGACTCCTAGTATTTCTGACCTGGGCTTGAAAGTAAGTTTTTAGCAGTCCAGTAAGTCCTGCTACGGGTGTATCTTTCTCACTGCCATATGGCTTAGTGAGCTATGGGGCCCGATTTCAACCAGTGTAGTCTTGCAATAGGTATTTTTCCTTACTCAGACAAGGCTAGAAAAATGCATAGAAATACTGTGTTAATGATTGCATCGGAATGAACCATTTTTTAAAAAGCTTAGTCCTTACTAAAGTCATTTTCTTTGATCTGTTCTGTAAAGTTGCTATGTATTTTAAATCAGAAGTCTTTTTTCTTTGAAAATACGTTTTGTATTTGACATGTCTGTGTATTTTTTGGGACAAATGGAACGGAGAGATGAATAGTCCTCTATTCATATGGTGCTTGTTCCTTCACCTTGCTCTCTGGCTGGATGTGGAGATG